CAGAAAGATCTGGCACGCTTCAATTCTTTGTCAGTGTCATTGCCAATCTTCTTCATCTTAAACCATCTGTAGTTAGACAAAAATTACAACTATGTACACTGCAAGCCACAACTGCCGTCTTCATGTCCGTCAAAGGCTGCTACCACAGCACCGTGCGGTCCCTGTCCTGATCAGTAAGAATTTTTTTAAAAAAGCTAGATGATAGTCATCTCTCTGCTCTGGTCTCTCCCTGGAAGCAGAGACTGTGAAAATGGGAAGCTCTTTATCAGCAGTATTAAATGTGAACATCTGGCCTTCTGGCGAGAGGAGGAGGGGAAAAGGATAAAGACACCAACAGGCGCAAAGGGGCCACCAGAGGCCAAAGGGGGATCATGAGGAGACCCGAATGGCAACAACAAGACCACAGAAGAAGCTTGTTTTGGTGTTTTGTTTTTGATTTTTAGGGGGGGGGAAAAAAGCAGGGAAAATTATGGCCATGGGTAAACAAAAAAACAAAAAGTTCACTTTTAAATACTTCAAAGTTAGCTGAACTCTTCCTCCAGCACAGAGTAACCTTACAAGATCTTAATGTACTAAAACGAAAAGTAAGCGTTCAAGAATGCCACCTCAAAGATTTAAAAAAAGAAAGCAGAACTAGGCAGTAACTTCTCTGAACAGAGTCATTTTCCCACGCAAAAAACATACAAAAGGAAAGCAGAGTAGGAGGCGAGGTCTTCAAAGTTCATCCCTTGAGTAAACAATTTGCCACATGGATTTCTGTGACTCACAGATTGCTCACAGTCACCGTTTGGAGTGTGAAAACCTGTGTGCCTTATAACGTACTGAACGTACCTGAAGCAACAACAACACTTCCTGGAACAGGTGACACTCACCCATAAAAAGGACTTTACAAGTTTGTACAAGTGACAAAGAGGGATGGTGTTTCAAGGTTGAGTAAGAGGCAAGGTGTGGCAGCCAAAAGTAAAGAAAAAAAAAAGGTTGCTACGGTACTGTACTAATGTGAAGTACCTGTAACATGGGAAAAAAACACAACAGCCAGTTGTGACTCTTGGCAAACCTCTGCGTTTTACACTAACAAGAAAAAGAACAAAGTGGACTGTCATCGGCCTCCCACGCAGGAAAAAAAAGAAAAGAAAAAGAGTTTGTCTGACAGATAATGCAGTTAAACAATTCTAATGGCGCATACAGCATACGAAGGCTCGAAGAGAACTCTGAATGAGCACCTGCCTAACTGGGTCACACTCTGCAACCCAATGGGAGGGCACACAGAAAAGCTAACCAACCTAACTCCCCACCCTCAACTTTCCTTCTGTGTCTGACACAGCACATGAGGGTGTGTGGGAAAAAAAAATCTCCAATCCATTCTTACGGCAAGCTTATTTCTGGGCGTGTGCATAAAGCCTCTGTGCTTTGAAGACCATCACAATGAGCTGAGCTGACGGTAACGCAGGCCTCCGCAGTGAAAGCCGATCCAGTTTGCAAGGTTCAGGGAGAAAAAAAAGAAAACGGACACCGACGTGCTCATCAGTGCCATCATTCACAAGATCCTGACCCAGTTAACGGGATGGTGTAAGTTGCAGATGATCATCCCCATCGAAAAACTCTGAACCTCAAATATAGTTGGTGATTTTTTTGGATCAGCAGTTTCTTTGTTCTCCCACACCCCTATTTTCAAAATTGTTCCAATAACTGAGGTTTTGGTAAGAACAGCAAACTCCTAAAGCTTTGTCACCCAAAGTAGTAAAAACGCTAGCGTGAGCGGAAGCCTTTCAAATTTCCTTCTAACTGATGGTATCAGCTGTTTATTCCTACTATCTCAAACTATGCAGTTCTAGTTTTAAAGTGCAGAAAGAAAAAAAAAGATCCTCTGAGCTTTAACGACCATATTAGGTGGCTAAAGGGGTGACAGGAGACTGTCTGCATTTTGTTTCAGATGCTTTTAAATCACTTTTGACTTTTCTTGCTGGTTAGGATTAGGCATTAAAAAAAACAAACCCATAGTTAAGAGAACAAGAGGGATTGCGGTTGGGTTTAAACATGCCACCTGACATTGCACTTAAAGGGCAAAGGAATCCTTTACAAGCATTCACATGCAGTCACTTAAGAGTGACAAACTTGCTACATTATTTAAAGCACACCTTAGATGTATCAAAGGACACCTAGTTATTTGACATCATGGAAATGACAGCAATGCACTTGCTACTGGCCGCCTAACATTAAATTGTAACTGCAGTGCGCCCCACGGTGTACTTCTAATAAGAGTCCCAAGCCCTGATAAGCGTGGAGGTTTGCGTCAAGAAGGAATCGAATCAAACATCTAGGAATAAAAGAAGACCTAAAAAGTCTATAAATCGAAATAGGCCCCGAAATTTAAAACCCTGAAATCGTATCCAGATAATAAAAAGGCTTTACAGTTGCAGGCCAAGGTGCCTGTAACTATAGATGTACGATGACGTGCACCACTGCATCCCAGATCCCCGTGAAGTCATTCACATTCCTGCATTGATGGACAGAAAAGACAAGACACACAAACACCAAATCTGGAAAGACCCAAAACAAGCCCTGAAAGATGAGGGTCATTTCCCTCGCATTGACCTTAAGACAACGGTTTATGTTAAGCTCAGGGTACTAGCCTGTGTTGAACCATAAATTGCAGAATTTAATGGGGTGGAAAGGGGGGGGATACAAAATTGGCAGCTACCTTCTCTATTCAGAGCGACATCTGTGCTGAGATTTGTCTCACAGTGGGGGAAAAAAAAAAAAAAAAAAAAAATCTGCAGATCGACGTGAAACATTTCATCAGGATATTTCTGAGCTGCAGACAGATTGCTGCAATTTTACATAATTTAGAGTCGATTCAGCTGTAAATACTTCATGGAGACCCCAGAAGGGAATAAAAAGCTCCTTTACTGCACGCTGAAAAAAGAAAAAAGAAAAGAAAAGAAAAAAAAGAGTGTAACCTTCAAATGCAATTACAGAATAAGTGGCAGATAATCAACTCCATCCAACCCCATAACGCCTGTGCTTCATAAAAAAAGCAAACCGCACTATCATAAATCTGTTGCTTTGAAGTGAACAGACAGCGGTGTCCACATGTTGAGATTCAGTCAACATGACACAGAGGTGTCATGAGCAAGCTAAAACCACCTTTTCATCTTTTCCATATGCTTACAGACCATCAGAGAACCTTCCTGAAATCGCTGCACGGCTCATACACTGTGATTCATTGCTTGGATAAGGTTGACTAAACTTCCCTCTCACATTCAGCAGACCACTTCACCAGTGTCTAATGGCTATAACATCTACCATCACATTTTGCCACGTATTCACAAAGCAGCAAATAGTAATGAGGCTGCTGTCCCGTGACTACATTTCAGTTCTTTTTTTAAATCTCAGTGAACGAGACTTGCTCTTCAAAATGTGACATTATCTATCGAGCCATCCATATTTTTTGTGTCTCATCATTAGAACTCAGTGTTTAACATCCCTCTTAAAACACTCCGCTTCCCACAGGCGCTCGTCTGAACTATATATTCATGGCAGCTGGAAGTGACAGCTCATCCAACTTTCCATAAATCTTGGGAGATACTGCACAAGACTTGAATGAAAACCACATGCAGAAGAAACAAGGCGGGGGCAGGAGACAAGGGGGGGGGGGGTGAGACAGAAAGAGGGGAGAGGTAGGGGGGAGCAGCAAGAGGCTGACCTACAACTGTACAGATAAATCAGGCAGCGGAAAAGTCAAGCGATCTAAGAGGTTCAAATAAACCAAACCATATGTGCAGATGTGATGTGCGCTGGAGTGTGTGCATGCGTGACGGGGTACAGCAACCCTGCACGGTCAGGAAAAGGGCTCCCTGCTCTCAGATCACTGTACGTCTCTTTCTGTGGGTGTCACCAGCGATTGAGGGGTGACGGCCTCTTCTCTTTCAACTCTAAATTAGCTGTTTTGGTTAGTGAACCAGACGTGCAGATCAAAAAGGTCAGACATGCCCACTTAATCCTGGTAAATCTCCCCCTTCACATCTCGCCAGCCTGTCAGCTTCTGTGTGACAGCAACCATCACAGACACATGCCTTTGCTCTGTGCACCCCCCCACCCCCCACGCCCCTCTTATGCAAAGCAGTTGTTTTTTTATTTTGCAAGACTGACAATTTCACGAGTCTCCGGATAGCCATTGACAAAAGCAAAACAGTGTCATCTTTCCAAAATGTTACAACTGGTTGGCGTTGGACACTTGAGCTGTTTGTCTATATTTTAGAAGAATGCTAAATATGGCCACTTATGATCAGCTCTGAACGGGACCCTTGAGCTGCAGGGGTTTCGAAGGCCATTAGGGTCTTGGGGGCGTCACATCTAAGGAGCAGCAGCTGTCTTGACCTCGGTGAAACTCAGCTGTGATGGAAAGGGATGAATGAAACTTTATACTTCAGCTTAAATATGGGCTACAGTAACTGCTCAGATTTTTCCCCTTTATTTAAAAAAAAAAGGCTTTAGGTGTGATTTTGTTTAAGATTCAGATCTGTGACCCTGAATTAAAATTTAACAAAGTAGCTTGAACCAAGAAGCCATTGTTGCGGATTTCAACACCTAAGGGATACACAGATTTGGGGAGAATTGGGGGTTCTGATTATGTGAACGGTGCAGATCCTTGATCAGATTTTTGGGGGGTTGTAGGGGTGGATGGGTGTATTATACCAAAGTAAGGGGGTGGAGGGGCACAGCAGTAGTGCCTTTTAGTTAGATTTGGACTGACTTTAAGGATTAGTGACAAGACACAATTTCTTATTTTTAAGTGGGGACTTCCTATAGTGACTTCCAGGACCACCGAGGGAGTGTTATGAGTCTGCAGGTATAAAATGGGAAGCATGAAATTAAGTTCTTTGTTAATTAGTTCTGATTCTGGAGGGGAAATTGCAGTTATTCAATAACCTAAAATTCAAATGAGCCAGGGGGAAGTATTCGCCTCATGTTCAGCGGTAAGCAGGACAACCTCTTACCCGTTTGAAGTCCACCACAAAAGTGATGAGCGTCCCATCTCCCTGCTTGAACTCGAGTGATATCGAGTCTTTCTCGCTGTCCGCCTCCAAAACCTCCTCGGTCACCAGTCCGTCAGAGAGCCGGACTCGGACCCGCAGCTCCGCAGCGAGTCCCACAGCCACGAGCAGCACAAGGGCGCAGAAACGAGTCAGTATCCGACCTGGAGCCGCGGAGATGCAACTCGCAAACATCCCCGAAGACGCAAAACCGTACCCGAGAGAGCAAAAAATCGAGGCGAAATCCAGAGGTCTCCGCTCATATCCCAGCTGTGTTCTTCTCTTGTGCCGTGTTGTCTCGTCAAGTCTTTTCCCTCATGATCAAAGTTTGGTGGGTCACTCTTTCATGCGGTCCCCCCGCCGTGCGTCAGTACTTTCCACAATTACGGGCACATTCATAGGAATCAGGCGACAAACACACGTCCTCACTGCAATCTCTCCCTTTCACTTCTGGGACCAGTTCCCTTCCATTGAATGTGTGTCGCTCCGGTGTTGTTGATAAGATCATGCGCACTTCAGCTCCCTCCCGCACCACAGTCAAGAGTCCGATGATTGCACGCTGCTTCTCACTCTGCTTTGTGTTGATGTTCACGTCTTCTCTCTCTCTCTCTCTCTTTTCTTACCTCCTTCTGACTCTCACTCAGTCCCGTCACTTCCTATCCGTCGGTATCCCGCTGCTCGCCTGGCCTCCAAACTTTCTGCGGCGTGTGAGTGAAATAGCGCACTGATGGTAGTAAACTCTTAAAGCCATACCACCCTCAGAAAAGTCTGCCCATCCCCCTAAAGGCCTCATGTGATCCTCCTGCACTCCACAGCAAATGGGCTAATAATACCCCCCTCCTCCACCCCAGCAATTAGAAAAAAAAAGGTGTTTGTAGGGGGATTTGTAAATCACAGCTCCGTGCGTGTTGCTCACGGCATGTAGGGATGATTAAAATGCATGAGCAAACTATACCGTGCAGCTGGCGGTGGTCGTAAAGCAAACAATAACCAAGCAGGTAAAAATGTTGGAAACATAGAAGATATTATCTTAAGTTTAAAAGCCCTGTGATGTGAGTAAATAGGATGCGCGCGGATGTGCTATCTTGTGGAGGTAATATTGGATTAAATGCGCCAAAACAGGGATGTCAAACATAAGGCCAGGGGGCCAAAATCGGTCAGCCAAAGATTTCAAACTGGTCCACTGAGCAGCTTTGGAGACTGTGAAGGAGCATGTAAATTTTTGGTTTTAAACTGTATTTTCACAAGTTTTTGCAGCCTCTCCTACTGATAAAGACTTCCCCTTAATGGCCTCTCCATGGCCATTCATACAGCACCAAAGTAAAAAAGCGGTAGTTTGTGTTTTTCCTTCACTACATTTTTTAAAATCTTCTATAGAAATTTGATTTTTTACAGTCGGTTCACGTAAAAGAAAAAAAAATCAATCAATCAGTCAATAAAGGAAATAAAGGACACTGTGGAGGTAAACAGCAGAGGTGTGGACTCGAGTCACATGACTTGGACTCGAGTCAGACTCGAGTCATTAATTTTATGACTTTAGACTTGACTTGAAAAAATGTTCTAAGACTTGTGACTTGACTTGGACTTTTACACCAATGACTTGGGACTTGAATTGGACTTGAACCGGTTTACTTGAAAAGACTTGATATTTTGCCCCAAATATAACATTTAACATGCATATTATATAGAGATTGAAAATGTGACGTCATTCACGGGTAGAACCGCAAAGGATTCTGGGAACTCGTGGCAAGCGGTACTAGCGCACGCAGGCTTTCAATTAAAATCAGTTATACAGCGATAAAAAGAAACACAAAAATGGCAAGAAGCTGTTGTATTATTAACTGCAATAGCCGGTCGCATGACAGCCACAGGAAGCCGACGGGTAAAGAGATCGGTTGTTATCGGATTACGTCGTTGAAGAGAAATTGTTCGAGCCATGTTTCCGAAGTAACAAAGAGGCGACTGGATTGCAGCCATTCAAAGACCAAATATAACGTCCCAGAACCCTCCAGCTCACAGGTTAGTCTGCTCCAAGCATTTACACAAAGGTCAGTCTGCTGTTGTAGTTAATGCGTCATTTTTCTTAACATAATTGGTGATATAGGTTACAAGCAAGTCTGGCGCTGAACAGAAATTGTGGCGCTATGCTCCTTTGTTTATTGTGCATAAATAGTGAATTGTCCTGACACAATATTGCGTTTCGCTTCTGTTATTATGGTACATTGACAAAAACATATACTTTTATTCACAGGATAAAACAGTTGTTTTGTATCACTAATTGCCCAGTACGATTACAGCATACAATATTATTGTCACTGCTACATTTCTGTGATGCTACCAGAAATTATTTCCACTGCTAATTAATTACCATTGAGCTCAAAGGTCCTATTAATAAACGGTTAAGGAATGTGTATTTATGACGACGATTTGTGAGACTGGTAAACTTATGATACGTACGATGGTCTTTACTTTCTACACGGTGCATTTCAAGGTCCTGCACCCATCCGTCGGTAAACTGTACCTGGGCTTGTTGCAGTGACCTGAAGTTACTAAACTTCATGAGTGTATGCACTCACTCCAAGAACCGTATAATTATAAATATGCATATAAATATGCTAGGATGAGATAGCTGACTTCATCTAACTAGCAAATGTTTTCCAGGCTACGTTGGTGATGCAGTTTTTTTTTAAAATGATATTTAAAAAAATATATCATTTATTTATGTATGATATTTTTGTCATGCGATTTTAAAGCCGGTCCTACAACCGCATCCAAGAATAACATGCAGCTTATCTCAGAACTGTCGGTGAAAATTATTCTTGGAGCTAAGTTTAATTGAGCTGCATTTTAAAGAGGTGCAATTTCACAATTTGTGTATACTTTCTAAGTTCACTATTTTGTCATGTGTTGAGAAAAACACAGATTTAAAAATTACATGGTCTAATATTTACATTTAGCATAACTGCAACATGCTTTTTCGTTGTTTTTTTTTTAAAGACTCGAAAGGACTTGAAATTCAAAGTTTCAGACTTGTGACTTTACTTGGACTTTTACACCAGTGACTTGAGACTCGACTCTGACTTGCCTGACATTACTTGAGACTTGACTTGAGACTTGAGGATAAAGACTTGAGACTTACTTGAGACTTGCAAAACAATGACTTGGTCCCACCTCTGGTAAACAGACGACACAGAGCTATTAGTTCTCACTCCTGCTTTATTCTTCTTCTCACATCAACTGAACACATCGCGCCACAAAACACATCAACGCACTTCCTCAACACTGGGTGTGAGTGGAGCCCTAAAGGACATATTCTGTCAGCTGACAGAAATGTTTTCGTTTTACACTCACTGGACCTCGTGCACAATCAGAACTTTTTCTGTCATTTTACACATTTATTTCTTACAATTTATGGCCAAAGAGTCACTCTGACAGACTTCTTTCATTTACTACAGTGTTTCATTATGATGTAGAAAAACTGAGACACGCCATTGAAATTACACTTCTTTTTTTTTTTATTAAAGTATCCTGGGGAGTACATTTGTAGTTAAAGCTGTTTACAGCTAGCTCTGTGATCCACAGTGCAAAATGAGTTTGACATCCCTGCTCTAAAACATCTTTGAAAATTATCCCCAAGAATGAGGAAAACAGATATTTTGTTGTCAGTCTCCAATTTTTATGTAACTTCCGTAGAATATAAATTTTAGTTCTTGCATGAATCCATCGCAATACACAGGATAAGCACTATGGTTATAGTTTTTGCAGCTCACTTTCTTGTTTTTCAGGTGTTTATGCATCCGCCTAATCTCCCTGAGACGTTTGTATTTATGTATTTATGACTCCAGTGGCTCTAGCATCTAAAATAAATCTGGAGATAATCACTGCCTTTGATGACAACATATAGTTGAGTCACAGGTTTCAGTTGCAGGGAAAAAAGACAGTCACTCCTTTATTCTTATTATGTGTTTTTTCATTTTACGATGCCCTCGAGAGAAAGCTTGACAAACCCGAGGTGAGAGCTGACAAACAGATAAAAGTCGCCTATCTGAAGCAAGATCGCAGCTCCACATGAAATGGTAGATTAACACTATGTGTGTGTGTGTGTGTGTGTGTGTGTGTGTGTGTTGCAGATTTAAGTTTGACAGCCATGCAGTAATTTTCATATCTCCATTGGCTGCTGCACTGCATTCTGGGTGGGCTAGGCCCCGGTTTGGTGACCCCAAACGTGGCAGCACACTAAAGCTGCTGTGACCAAGAGATGGTCGCTCCAGTGAAGAGGAAAACAAACAGAGAAGCCATTAAGCAGAGCAAACATTGTTAGGTTTGCCTGGAGAGACCAAACTGGGCCCTGGGCCCTCACAGAGTCGAGGACGGGAGGTCAGGCAAACACCCCCCTTTGTGATGGAGGTTAGTTCTCGAGTATTCTCCTGCTACATCTTAGTTAGAGCGTCCAAACACATGCTAGCTTAAGCTAATGGAAAACAATGGGATGTAGGGATTGCCCGACTACACTGTCAGCAAACATGTAAAGCTTCCTCCACCCTTCTTACTTAATAATTAAGAGGAAAAGTAATTCTGGGGTTCTGTTTAAAAATCATGTGCTTGCACGTCATATTTGCACACACATACGCACACGCAGTTGTCCAAAGTACAATAAAGCTTTGAGGTTAAAGCTAGAGCAGAGGCAGATAAACACGACTGTGTACAGAGAGTGTTTATGATTAACCAGCAATTTCGTTGCCCCGTGATAATTCACTGTCACAACGAGCAGTTTACGGTTAATTACATGAGCACTGTTGCTGTCATGCAACGACTGAGAGGAGAGCTACTTTTGTTTGGTTAATTTACTGTAAAGGGAAGAGATAAACGAAAGTGAAAAGCACTTGAAAAAATGTGATTGGACTTGTATGTGTGCATTACACTTACACATCTTAAAACAATGTTTACCTCACATGTCTTGATGTTCGTTTGTGCAAGTCTACATGCACACCTCGTAACGTGCATGTAGGAAAAAGCATGTGCATGTAACGTGCATGTGTGTGCTTTTTTCTTTCCAGCAACAGAGCCGTGGAGTTTCACGCAATCTTGATATCTCGCCTCAATAAGTGAAAAACAGATCACAAATTAATCAAAATATGTACAATAAGGAATAATAAGGAATAAGGAAACCTCTGATTTAGTAAGCTGCGCTGAGCCGTAAAATGTAGAATCATAAATAACCACCAACACTGGCTCTTCCACCTTTCCACTCTTTGATGAGCTCCAGTTGTGCTTATTTGTAAGGTATTCAGCTTTGACCCAAGGTGCTAATACTGCACTCCAGTCGTGCGTGTGTGCATTTATGTGTTTGCACGTGCATGGACTTGCACAAAGTTGGTTTGAAATGGTGGCATTTGATGAGGGATTTGTGCCACCCAGACTGCACCTTTAACCAAAACAGCAATTTTTGCCACTGAACTGAGCATAACAAGAGGGCCGATCCTTCTGCAACTGATTAGATTTGTCATTTTAATAAATGTATTGGCTTAGAATAGAAGTTTATTACTCACAGTAAAGGTTAAAAACACTCCTGGTGGACACTTTTTTATAATTGTTGGTTGATTGCCATGCAGGTTTGCAGTTATGCTCCTAATAGCACAATATTTATGGCTTGCTCAACCAAAGGATTCAGAGGTAATCAGAAAGCCTCCCAGACCAACAAGCTGGTGATGTTTCC